GCACTAGCAGAGCATAATGGATCATACGTGTGTGTACCTTATAACGATTTTGGGCCTGGAGAAAGAGCCGCCCTTAACGTCACATTTGTAGGTCAGTTGCATGTAAATGAAAAGATATATGAACAATAGTCTCCATGTGGCTCGAAAATATTTATTCGTAGGCATTATCTGTTCCGAGAAGACAACAGTTTACCAAGAGCGAAGTTCGAGGAAAACTGCGAGCTTTGAAGAACCAATTATGTTCGCGAACAAACATCTGAGCATATTTTCACGCAAATTGAGGCTATTGTGTTTATTATGCTTCAAATATTCTTCGTAACACGTGGGATCTTTTCAAAATTGGGGAGTATGACTTGGATATTCCCCAGGTTTAGCTGGGGCGTGTTTAGTCGCGTGACGCGTTTAGACCAATCGCGTGAAAGCGAAAAAAATTTGATGCATTACAAGTAATATTATTTCGCTTTTTAAGGGCAGTCCTATGGTTTGAAAAATTAATATTGTTTTCCACGGAGGATTATTTCTTAAACGCTCCCAGAAAGTCCTATTCTTGGCTATTGGTTCCAATTTCTTTCAAGTATGGTTATCTGGTTTTGAGTCAGTGTAACTGTTGTGTGTTGTTAAACCTCTTTTCCTTGACAGGGCCATGCGGTGTTAAACGTGTATATGTTTCATGGTCGCCTATGATCGTAGCAGGAATGTACGCTAAACCTGGGGAGTGGCCATGGCAGGTACAGTTGGGATACTTTGACATCAGCGAGAGTGTCCCTCACATCTGTGGTGCCTCCATCTTGGATCATTACTGGATTGTCACTGCAGCTCACTGTGTTAAAAGTCAATTTAAAGAAAGAGTGGCATCCAATTTTAATGTCACTGTAGGTAGTTATTTTGAACATTCCCCCCCCCCCTAACTTGATAACTAGTGTAGTAATGTAAACGGGTTTTTATTGGAACGAATTCGAAAGATATTGAAAAGTTCAGCTGACGACACCAGGTGATTGGCAAAAGAAATTGCAACCCGTTCTGTATATTTAATACATTTGTGACGATTTCAAGATGACAGTTTTACTGGTGAACGAAAATCAATGATTAGTTCTATTTTTGGGGTTTTCAAATTCTGCTGCTTACCATTGCATGGGATTTAGAGAAATTTATCCTAAATGGAAGATAGAAGAGTGCTTTTTTTAATTTTTGGCGTAACTACTGTTTTTTTTTTTACCGTCGTGATAGTATATGTAAGGAATACATGCAATAATTGATGTGAACTGCAGATAAACACAATGAAAGTATACCTTCGCAGATATGAGAGAAAATATACGGTTGAAACTTTAGTGAACCTTTCTCGTATAACAACTTGGAAGATATCGATCACATTCACACTTGCTCTTCTCTTTTGGCTCATGAACTGTTTCTTAACCACTAGGAGAACTTCACAGAGGAATTACTGAAGGAAGCGAACAAAATATCCCAGTTGAAAAGATCATTTTGCACGAAAACTTTGATATTCAAAATCTGCAAAACGACATCGCCCTGATGAAACTCAAACAACCGATACTCTTTGATGCGCATGTCTCACCAATCTGCCTTCCAGACTTCGATTTTGCTGTTGGTACCACTTGTTACGTCACCGGATGGGGACTGTCTGGACCTTCGAGTTCTTCATCAGACATACTCCAGGAGACTATAGCTCCTTTAATGAACCACACAGTTTGCAAAAATCATTACACCGGCATAAACCCCGTGACGTCACAAATGCGCTGTGCGGGGACCTTGGGTCAGAGTCAAGGTACATGTAAAGGAGATAGCGGGGGACCGCTGACCTGTGAACGAGATGGCCGTTGGTATTTAATGGGTATTACCAGTTGGACTAATGATGGCTGCATGAACAACGGCGATCCAGGAGTGTTTTCTGATACTTTGTATTTTAGAAGCTGGGTTGAGGAAGTCATGAAAAACAATACGAGAACGCGAGTGTAAAATGCAGTAGACATTGAAGTATGTCTCTGATGAAAACCCTTAACTTGCATCAACAATTTTTTTTTACAACTTTTTCAATGAAATTACTTGAGATGATAACGTTTTTAAGAGATATTACTTTTATAAAACAATTTTCAAAACACATTTGTAGTCCTGTAGGTGTATGCAATTTGTATCAATGTAACTTGACCAGAAAAAAAGCAAAAAGAAATAATTGATTTATTAAAAAGATGTCACTGAAAAGCGATTCCCTTATTCCAATTTATTTCTTGACTCCTTTTAGTGTGTAAGAGTGAGCAGTTCTTGTAAAGCCTCTCGTTTCCTCAACCTAACCCTGCCAACAGGCTCACGTCTGGGGAGCACACGTGCGAGCGGTGGGGCCGCGAGAAAAGTGTTTATTAGGGCCTCTGCACCAGATTCCTCCCCGCCAGATCGCTTCTCTGGCCGACTTGCTCTTTCTTGCTCGCGGGTGCCACTCAAAGGTGAGCTTGCTCGCAAACTACTTCATGCCCGCCAGTCGCCTTGCACGGGTCCTTTTAAATCTGGAAAGGATTTGTAAAAGCTGCTTTTTTGGGGTGGGGGGAGGGGTTGGGGCGGAGTTTTTTCACAGCCGTTAAAACTTTTACCCTTAAGAACTGCCTTCTTAGAATAATTTCCAACAAGAAAGGTTTCCAGATCATCGGGAGTTATTACTTAGCTCTTGCATACGGGCTATTTTGAGTTATAATCCATCAAATATTTT